ATATATATATATATATATATATATATATATATATATATATATAGAGAGAGAGAGAGAGAGCTAGGTTCAAATGTTTTTCAGCAACTATTATGTGCATTTATGCACCAATCACAAATTAGTAAATATTAAATAATTAATTAAATCAAATAAGGGCATTTTCGGTTTTTTGTATTTACAATTAATGAAGTCATTTAATTTAATCCTACAATTAAGGAAAGAAAATCAGTATTTTAAAACCCTAAAAATAACCTCTGTCGTTCATTTGCATCTACAGATCTTCTTCCTCCAGCAGTTCTTTCTTCCTCCAATGACTCTCCCCTTCGACGACAGAAACATTCCATCAATGCCTCCTCTCCAGCAACGCCTCCCCCTCCTGTTTGCGGTGATGACCACCACCGTCATCAAGCGACCACCCTCCTCTGTCGGTCTTCATCTTCTCAGTTAAAAGAGTAGAAATCATTAGCCAATCTCACATCTTAATCTTCAATCAAAAGTCGACATCTTCTATAATTTGTTTTAAACAATTTTATTTTTTCTTCATGACTTCAAATCACTTAGCTTTTCAATAAATTTGATTGTTTTTTTATTGTTTCTTTTCTTTATTCCACATCAGGTCACATTTATGTGGTTGTTTCTATGGATTCTTCCTATGCATTTCTGTTTCATGGAGTTTCCCTAAGTTTGAGTTTTGATTGGCTCGATTCGTAACTGTCTGCTTTTGTTTTGTTGGGGCTCGTCTGCGATTCTTGCTGTACGGAATGGTTTTCAGGGTGGTTGACGTTTTTACCCGTGGTGTTTTTTTTTTTTTTTGCTGTGTTGCTGGTTTTTTTGGCTTGTGTGCAATTGTTTGTTGCTGCTTAGTGGTAATGTGGTGGGTTTTTCCTAGAGTTGTGGTATGCTTTTTGTTGTTGGTTCCTTTTACCCTGTATATGTGTATTGAGCTTCTCCTTTCTTGGTGGTTTTTCTTCTACACAGAAGCATTTGATAATGCACAAAAGGTGTTCGATAGAATGCATAAGAGATGTTTCAAGCCAAATTCCCGGTAATTGACTAATTCTCAGTATAAAAAAACCCAATTGGTGTTGTTTTTTTAGAAGAAATTAGTCTTTTATAATGTGAAAGATGAGTATGGGGTGTGAATGGATTTGTGTGTATTCTTTCAGAATGAATTAGTGTTTATTGGTGGATTTTGATGTTTTTGTTGCATTTGTGATAGGAATGGCTTGAATGTATTCTATATATTCTTTCAGAATGTATTATGCCAGAATAAAATCTGTGTATTTCTGCCATAATGTATTCTATGTATTCTATGTATTATGTCATATTCTATTTATTCTACCAGAATATATAAAGTGATAGTTGTTTGCAAGTAACATGTTTTTAACCATTATTAGTTTTTATTGTATTTGTGATAGGAATGACTAGAAGAATGCATTGAAGACCTAATAGAAATAACTTGAAGAATGAAGAAAGTTTGATCATACTCACAATTTAAGAATGTTGTTATTTTTTAAGAATTTTATTCATTTTTGTTGATATTCTTTTAGAATATGTATAATTATATTAAAATGTATAAAGCTTTTAGTTTGTGAGAATATACATGAATTTGTATTTAAGTTCGGATGTATAAAAATATATTAGAATGTTGTTATTTTTCAACCTCGGATTCAAGAATTTTGTTATTCTTCAATAATATTCTAATAGAATAAAATTCTGAAAGAACCTCATTCTAACAAAAAATATTCTGGCAGAATAAAATCGGTTATGTTTACAAATTACTTTAGAATTAAATATGAATTAATTAAAAAAATCAGATTTTTAAAATTAGGAGAATTTATTATCCCTAAAAATCCGAAAATTTCCTTTTATAAATATAGTTAATTGTCCAAAATACATTTTTGCTAAAATTTATGTGATTATATAGTACATGTTATCCCATTGTACTATCATACACCCTCAAATCATGTCCATTGATTAATTTCATCCGTTGGTCCAGATCTTGGATTCTGGCACACAATAGTTAGTAAAAATAAAATAACCTAACCATATATATTATATATATATATATATTATATATATATATATATATATATATATATATATATATATATATATATAGAAGTTCAATAAAAAAAACCATTATTAAATAAGGAACCAAGGAACCAATCCAAAACGTGGAAATTTAAAGCGACCAACAACAAAACGAAGGGTTGTAGACTTTTACAATTGACGCACATGCATTGGATTATAACGAAACTCACTTCATTTTTTTCGTTTAAAATTTTTTTAGGTTATATTTTTTATTGAAAAAAAAACCGAATATAACGTTGTTCACGATTTTTCGTCCTCTTTCCATAGAGATTCATGATGATATATAAAAAACGAACTTTTTTTTCGAAAAAAACTCATTTTATTTTCTTTGTTGAAAAGTTAAGGTTTATTTTTTTTATAGAAAACAATTAATAAATATATCAAAATTCATATTTTCTGGTACTTTTTAAACATAGATTCATATCATGTTAAAAAAATGATATTTCAGTTCAGATTCACATTGTGAGCTTGTTCAGATTTATATTGTGAATCTGATTTACTATTATACACACTGTGAATCTGAGAATGTTCACAATGTGAATGTGAATCTGAACTGATCGAACTTTTTCACATTGTGAATGTTAAAAATTGAAATATTTACAGTTTAGATTCACAGTGTAAATCTTCACTGATCGAGTTTTTTTAGTCAGTGTTGATGTTTATTATTGGGTAAATTACACCAATCGTCCCTCGTGCATATGCCAAAAAGCGTGTTTAGTCTCTATTTTCAAAAATTAACTCGGACCGTCCCTCGTTTTGTTTAATCTTGCACGCTTCATCCCTGAAAGCCGATTTTGTTGCGAATTTAGTCCCTGTCAAGTTTGAAATGACCAAAATACCCTTGTATTTTTGTTTTTCAATTAATTTAATGCTTTTATTATAGGTTTCAATTAAAAATTAAAAAATAAATAATAAACGCATCTTTACTTTCCCTAACCATCCACAATCGCAGAAAACACACACACATCGAATCGATGAGAGGGAAAACGGAGACCTTTAACTCATTGGCCCAGTCACCGACTACCATCATCGCTTCCACTTCTCCGACGAACCTTCCCCACCGCTTTCACTGTATTACTAATCGGTGGTTGTGGTCGGAGCTTTTTCGGAGGAGATCGGTGGTGGATTAACATCTTAACGATGATCGGAAAAAGAGAGTGGGATAAGGAGGAAGCATGGGTGTGTTTGTCAATAGGGGAGGACCAGCGGGATTTCGATCGCTAGGAAATTTCCATCGCCAGAAACCTCCGGCAACTGTGTGCACAGTTGCACGTATTGTGGCGGTGAAGAAGATGATGTTCATTCCTCTCGGTCACCAGCATACCTCTATCATTCCTTTCAGTCACCGTCTCCGAAGTTTTGATGTATGTCGAAGTTCAACAATCTAGGGCATTAATCGAGGAATTTCATAACAGATTTTGGTTGCTTCATTACGAATTTAGGTTTGGGGATTTCATCTCGAAATGATGTTGACTATCGGTTTTGGTTTGTTTGGGTTTCAGATTTTATACAATTAAGATGATTTCATTTGGGTTTGAGTTTGATGGTTTTTTGGTATGATTTCATACTGCTTGATGATCTTGGTGAAGGTAATGTAAGAAGCTTGATGATCTTGGTGAAGGGAATGTAAGAAAAAGGTAGACGAAGGAGCTGGGAAATGGGAGAGGGAATGGTGGGGATGAATTGTTTTATTTATTATTTATTTTATTTTTAAACTAATAAATAAATAAATAAAAGAAAATGATAAAACAAATTATTAGGGGTAAAATAGTCATTTCATGTTAATAGGGACTAAGCGTGCAAGAAAAAACAAACTCAGGGACGGTCTGAGTTAATTTTTAAAAATAGGGACTAAACACGCTTTCTGGCATATGCACGAGGGACGAATGGTGTAATTTACCCTTTATTATTAGAGTACAAAAAATTAATTTTTTTTGTTATAATTAGTTTTTTTGATAAAAATAAACTTAAATATCGAAAGAACTAACAAAATGAAGTGAATTTTTTTCGAAAAAAAAAAGTTCATTTTTTATAAATCAACATGGATCTCTATGGAAAGAGGACGAAAAATCGAGAACAACGGTATATACGGTTTTTTTTCGATAAAAAATGTGGCTTAAAAAAAATTTAAAACGAAAAAAAAGGTAAGTTTTTTGGTAATGAGATGAGCTTTTTGATATAATCCAATGTGTTAATCTTATATTTGTCCTAAATATATGAAAGCCACCTAACATAGTTTTGAGTAACCGTTTTTTTTTTTTTTTTTTTTTTTTTTTTTTTTTTTTTTTTTTTTTTTCTTGAGCCTCAGATATGCTTTGACCGTCCATGTTTACAAATCACAAAACCTAATTAATCGGCTAATCTACTGATATCTCACGGGTCCTCCGATTTCCATCCATGTGATGGTGCCTTCAAAATCTCCTCTCTTGCTAAGCTGCCCTTCAACACCAATGAGAAATAACTCAAAGCATTTAAAAAATCACAGTGAAATCATTTTACCTCATATTTGATAAACATACCATGAGAACAAACAACTAAGAGTAAAAATCAAATCATGTTGATACTTGAAAATGTACAAGAAATTCGAACCCTAATTACTTAGGCAGAGATTCGAATCATTGCTAGTTACAAAAGTTTTCTAGATATGAAATATGATTACAATTTTTATTTTGAGGTGCAATGTTGTCTACGGCAAAAACAAAAAAGAAAAAAAAAATCATTCTTGTTTATAATGACTAATGTAATTAGCAAAAAAAACATGTCATGAAGCATCTAGAAGTAAAAAAACAAATAAAAAAACATTTGAAATATGCATTCACAGTAAACCTTTGATTTAGAGCAGGTCTATAAATACTTACCTCCAACTTATAGTCTTATATTATAAAACATCAATCAAAATATTTGATAACATGAAGCCATCATCACTTTCTTGTGTTCTCCTACGTCTCTTCATCATCGTGACTACATGCTCAATCTCTTCCATCACTACAGTCATCTCTGACGATGTTATAGACATTAGCGGAGAGCTCGTGAGAAATGGTGGGAAATACTACATCATCCCAATGGAAGGTAGCGACTACCCCGTCCCAACCATGCGTGGCAGAATCAAGCTAACGGACAGTATTTACGGTGAGAAAATTTGTCCACTTGACGTGGTGCTTGATCCATCGGATGATAAACTAGGAGATGGGTTCTACTTTTCTCAGCTTACTCGACAGTTATATCTCCAGTCATCACGCATCGGTATTGATTCGGGGCCTCCTGTGGGTGAATGTGAGGCGTCGACATCTTGGACCATTCCGGATGCTGAAGCAGAGGCTCCTTCAAACTTGATTACAACTGGTGGTGGTTTTGTTGGACTTTTTCAGGTTGTGAGGTATAGGCCAATAGGTCAAGACAGGGTGTTTAGGCCTCCTACCTACATGCTTCAGTATTGCCCTGAAACTTGCTTTAACATAAGCCTTTACTCATATAACGGCCTCACACGTCTTGCTTCCAGTGGTGATTCTCCATTTGAGTTTGGATTTCTTAAGGCCCAAGCATCTAATGAGATATAGTATGTGATCATATCTATAATCTCGAGCGCAAAAAATATATATAAGGAATAAGTAGGAGTCCAATCCATATATGGATTTTATCCCAATGAGACCCCTTTCCAATAAAACATGCGATGGTTGTACGTATATGTGATCATGTTCTCTATCTAATATTACTTATAAAAAAATTAGAGTTAGCGTATTCGTCATGGAACACTAAAACTTTTTTTTATTTTTTTTTTTAGTTTTAAGAAAAAAACACAAGCTTAAGTAATTAAAAGAAATAGCTAGGTAGACGATTCAAGGGAACAACATCCGCACAACTACTTTGTTATTGGGTTATAAAACCCGATTATCATAGCGTCGCGCTTTGGATATTTTTACATCAAAGATCCCTAAACACTTTTGTTGGTCATTTGTAAAATGCATCCATCGAAAATTCTTCTCTAAAGCTTGGATCCATCAACGATCTATTTATTTAAATAAGGAATATATATAGTTATAAATTTTTTTAATACAACAAAAGAAACGGTTGCTTAAATTTAACTCCAAACAACTAAAGTCTAAAAGGAAGTTCTAATATACTTTCTTTCATGAATAAACAACAAAATTAAATCCATTAAGGTGTTGGATTTTTGATTTTGAATTAATGTTATTTATATGTACCAAATTAAAATCTCGTTAAGTATTTGACCCTTGAGATTTAAGCCCTTGACCCGTTTGTGCGGTTATTCTTCAACTTTAGTATAACACTAGAGTGACGAGCTTCCTGATTAATCTTATAAAATCTTAATAGCTTCACCATCTTCTCTATCGAGCTTTTGCGGGAGGGGGGAGGTTTATAAGAAATGCCCGGATCCAAATGTGTAATTAGTGTGAAAGTTTCATTATTAATCTCATGGACTCTATAGAACCCGTGTAGTAAGTTTTATAAATGTCCTAATTTCAAGGTATATAACAAATATCCTTGTAGCACTACAAGAAATCCAAGTAATACCGGCGACATAGACATTAGCGTCGACATTTGAAATATGTCGATGCTAATGTCTATGTCGCCAGTATTACCGTCGCCGGTAATACTACAAAACCACGATCCGCCTTGTCCCTCCCAGTTGCACCCCACTCGTCTATCTAGCATTCAATACATCAGCAGTAGTTGATCATCGTACCATAACAATAGCGACGACATAAGTAGCGGCGACATAATGCCCTAAAAATGTCCGCGAAATATTCCATCCACTTACCACAACTTGTCGCCGCTATTGCCTATTGTCGCCATTAAAGCCTCATCGATAAAACCAGTCCAATCGTCTGCTTTCTTAGTTTGGACGATACCACTTTCCTTCTTTGGCGATTACGACTATCTTCAGGCCGATTACGACTGTCTTCAGGCTCGTCACTGCCGATTGTTACGTCCCATGGACAGGAACACCAGCGGGGTGTTTTTCGGCGATTTTGGGACTTTTCCGACGATCTCTAGTGTATAAACAAGCTTCTAGATCCAACATCTTCTTCATCTAGATGTTTAGTGGCCTCTTTCAGCTGAAAGGTGCAAACTTTATGGTGTTTGTGATCTCCATGCATGCATTAAGTCATTTATTAAGATCTTTTGGACTTTTGGGCTCCATTAAGTCATGATTGCACGTAAATTTGGCAACTTTACGTGATTAACTACTTCAAGGAGGTTAGACCTGGGTTTTGGGGCAAGTGGCTTAACCAAATAAGAGCTAAATGCAATGTTGGCGAGTCAGAGCAGTACGTTGGGCATACAAGCTGGTACCCGCAGCGTACATCCCCTTAAGCGTGTACGCTTAACGTCAAAGCTGAGTACGCCCCGTGTACTCAGCAGTGGGGTGCGGTATTTGGGCCTTCGGTGATGGGCTCCGTTTTTGGACTCTAGGAGTTTTGGGCTGTATTGTTGGCCTTAGTCTGGTTAGGTTAGGTGTATTGGTCTCCTTTATTGGCTTATAGTATCATGGGTTGGGCTTTTTGGGCTTTAGGCCCATTATTGTAAATGGGCCAAATATGGTTGGGCCCATTGAAAGGAAAATGCTTTTGGGCTTTGGTTGGGATTGTACCATAATTTTAATCAGGGTATTTTGTATAATTACTGTAGCACCTGGTTCTTGGTACGTATTCTTTTATTTAATTCTTTAAATGTTTTGCAATTTTGGCCTTGGACTCGGCTAGTTGAAGGACCAACTCGCCGAGTAGAAGCGAGTTGAGACGCGGGGTTTAAGCTGTGGACTCGGCGATTCGGGTCCCAGACTCGGCGAGTAGGCCCTGTCTGGAAAAAAAACCCTAACCCGAGGGTTGCACCCTATTTTAAACACCTAACTCGGCCTCCTTCGTCCCATTTACTCCCAGAAGACCCCCATAGCAAACCCTAGCCGTTATTGAAGCAATCTAAGGCATTTGGAGTGATTTTGGTGCTTTGTGACCCAAGGAAGGAAGGAAAAGCTTGAAGGATCAAGAGGAGGCTAGAAGGATCCGATTTTGAGCATCATTTCCAGTCTACAAAAGGTATAAAGTCTATACCTTGCTTGTTCTTTTGTTAGATCCCATTTCATGGAGTTTTAGGGCTTTTCTAAGCCATTTTGGTCACCAACCATGATTGCAAGCATGGTTTGGGGTTGATGTTTCGGATCTAGGTCCTTAGAGGGGTTCAACAAGCAAAAGGAGTGGCTTTGCACTCAAAGAAGGCCCCATGCATTGTAAGAGCTTGTTTTAGGACCTTCTGAGCCCAAAGTCCCATGCAAGCACGTAAAGGTTGTAACTTTACGTGCTAGATCGATTATAGAAGCTTGGATCTATCTTTTGATCAAAGGTTGTACATCAAAAATCAAGGATTTAGAGTGTGGACATGACCGACTCGGCGAGTCCGTTCTTAGACTCGGCGAGTCCGAGGCTTTGAGCCCCATATCTGTTAAGGGTCAAGGACCCAGTTGAGTGTGGAAAGGTTTCAGGGAGGTCCCGGGGAGTGACCCAACGTTCTGGACTAAGCCATTATTCTGGAAGTTCATGGGACTCGGCGAGTGCACGAACGAACTCGGCGAGTCCAAGGCAATCTTCTTAGAGCTCGACGAGTTGTTCATCAACTCGGCGAGTCGAGGACATAACTTGTTCATCAGATGAAGGGTGGACTCGACGAGTTGTTCACCAACTCGGCGAGTCGGATGAGTTTTTCATGTGAGGTTCATATGAGAGAAGAACTCGTCGAGTTGTCGGCCCAACTCGACGAGTGGAGTCGTGTATAAGGACAAAAAGAAGGATAGGGACTCGACGAGTTGGCGGCCCAACTCGGCGAGTCAAGTCAACTGGAAGTTGACTTTGACTTTGACTTGACTTGATCAGGGGTAAAATGGTCATTTTACCCAAAGAGTAGATATCAGACTCTGATTGTGTGCTTTGTGGGATTTATAGCCGGAGGATTTCCGGAGCAGCAGCAGCAGATAGAGAATTCCCGCACAGATCAGCAGCTACTACGAGGTGAGTTACCTTCCAGTAGCGGTGGGTCTACGGCCACAATGTCGGCCCACCAGTAGGAGTTGTATGTTGGGTGATTGTCTTTGTGATATCATCTAGGTTTGCTACTACCTGATATGTTATGTGCTAGTATGATATGATGTTATATGCTAGTAGCAGTCGGGGATATAGTCCCCAGGATTTCCGGTCGATAGGGTCGAAAGGGGTAGTCATACCCAGTCATGCTATACAGATTATGATTATGTGATATATGTTATGTGGTAGTAGTAGGGGGTGAAATAGTCCCCAGTATCCGGTCGAAAGGACCGAAGGGGAGGCCAGCACCCAGATATGCTAGGCAGTATCCGGTCGAAATGACCGAAGAGGAGGCCAACACCCAGATATGCTAGGCAGTATCCGGTCGAAAGGACCGAAGGGGAGGCCAGCACCCAGATATGCTAGGCAGTATCCGGTCGAAAGGACCGAAGGGGAGGTCAGCACCCAGATATGCCTGACAGTATCTGTATGTTATATGATTGTATGGTATGTGGTACGATGGGGGAACTCACTAAGCTTCGTGCTTACAGTTTACAGTTTTGTTTCAGGTACCTCTTCAGCGAAGGGGAAGGAGCTGGCGCGGTAACGGCACATCATACACACACGCATTGGTTTTTCCGCATTATGAGATGTTCTGGGATTGTACTCTGACATTATTATTATTTTTATGATTTGGTTTTTTAGACACGAGATATAATTTATGAAATGATATGATCGGATGATGTTTTACTACAAATGTTTTACAAATCACTTATTTTAAATGAAATTTTTGGATGTGAAAATTGGGTCGTTACAAGTTGGTATCAGAGCCCTGGTTTGAGGGATTCGGACACACCTTCGGGGGTGTCTGGACTCAAATCGAGGGATTAAAAGATTTTTATAAAGAAATGATTTTCTAAAGGCTAAGTAAAGGAGCTTTGAGAAAGAACAAGGTGTGTGATGTGCGCGACCGGCCGAGCTCAAGTAAGTTTTCCCCAGAGTACCCATACAAGTTTATGTTATGTTTTACCAGTTTCAGTAGAACAGCATGCTAGAATAGGACTAAGATCTAGGAATGATGCCTTATGTGCCTGCTTTATGTGTTTCAGCTTTATGAGAATTGCATGCTAGTATTGAGTAGACAGTAGTAGGATAGCCTGTTTAGGTTATGCCTGATAGTATGAGCTTATCATGGTATGCTAGTACAGTTTCTTGTTATGAGAATAGATTGCTTGAGTAGTTTCCTTTGTCTGAATGCTGCTTGCTTTGTGCTTTTAGGAGTTCTAGTTGTCTTTCACTAATTAGTAAACGAATATGTTAGGTTACATATTGCAAGGACTAAATAATTTCAGAAGGCTGAGTCTAGCTCTATTTCGCAGCTCTTGTTTGAGTCCAACCGTTATAGGGTAGGATCTCTCATTCGAAGAATTATCTAGTCTGAGTCATATGTAATAGTATTCGCGAGCTAGTTAGGGGAAGAAAGCAGGGACTTCTTATGCAACTGATGACGAAGAGTGGGT